AAGAAAACCACCACTAAGAATTTGCCACACTATCATTTTACCAATTTTTCAAGGCCATCCTGAAAATGAGACAAGAAAGTCATGCGGCGTGGTGAAGTTGACCCATCTACCTGCACTGAAACCAGCCTCCCAGAGAAGACAGAGGCTGGGATCCTTCCAAAACTCCTGAGTACATCTAATGATGGATTTTGACCCCCAAAATTAAATACTATCGACGAAGAGGAAGCCTGCAAGTCTTACCAAATTTAACTCTTATACTACATTGTAACATGTACATTCATCAGAAAAAGAGACATTTTTATTTACCTGTAATTTTGAAAGGTCTTCTGAACAATTTTTATCAGCTGAGGAATCATATGATATTAAGACATTAACCCATGGATAGATTAAGCCATAATGACTACAGGCATTTATCTAAAATATAAAAGACATTTGTTATAAGCAGAATTAAACAAAAAGACTCTTCATCTATTCCACAAGATGCAAGTCTTCATTAATCCTCTACCATGTTATAGAATTAGGTATATCCTTCCCCTAGGAGTGGGAAGCAAAGTCTTTTAGAATGTATTCCCCTTTCTTCCAAAAAGAACAACACTGCTTTTAAGTTAATTACACTCAAAGAGTTAAAATAGTACTGGAAATAATTTTTATTCATACTACTTTCCCTAAGAGGTAAAATATCTTCTGTAAATTCTCAAGACTGAATTCCCATAAAGACCCCCTTATTCAAGTTGGTGACTTTCTCAATTAACCCGTATTACCCATGGCCTCCAGGAGAGGCAAAGGGGCTAAAAGAGAGAAAAGGGGTGAAAAGGAGAGAAAGGAGTTGTTATGACTGCCCCAAGTGTGACAGAACAGCAGAACATGTCTCCACCCCATGAGCCTGCCGTTCCTCTCCCATCATGGAAGTTTGCAGATGTCTCTCATCTTGTTCCACTTTGTGATTCTCCAGAGGGTGTGCAGACACGTGATGTTTTGGGGGAAAACCCTTTCCCACATGTTTTGACCACTTAAGTATTACTATAAGTAAGCAATACAGAAGCTGTTGGGGGCACCTTTAGAATATGTAATTATTTAAAATGTAGGCAACTTCAGTCTTAGACAAGCTTTAAGTGTATTTTTAACTTCTGCTTAAATAAGGTATTGGTAATATAAACTAGGTTTGATTCTAAACCATTAAAAATAAGAAAGTATATTACTGAAAATAAAGTATCAGTTTAATTTAAATTTATTATTCCATTATCTCACCAGATCCTCTGACGTTCGCAATGGTGTGGAGTCAGGGGGCTGCCTCTTAGATAATCTCCAGATGTAATGTGATATGAGCTTGAAAAACAGTTCCTGAAGTACCACATCTGGTAGACATGCTACAAGCTGAGCTTCCCAGAAGTCTACCAAGAGCTGAGGAATTGTATCTTCATCCTTACCACAAAGCTCCTTGAAAAAACAGTGAAACAAGCCCTGATGTCCCCAGATAAATAGACTATGGGATCAAGTTACACCTGGACATCACAGCAGCATGTGGATCATGCGTTTAATAATTTACCATTAGCATTAGTGCCACAACAAAAACAAATTCAGACATTTTCACAGTAAATAGATTGCAGGCTGTATGAATGCAATTTCCCCAGATTCATTCTTTTAATTTATACTTTTAACTTATAAACTGACTATGTGTTAAGTCTGTTTTTTCAACAAACACAAATAAATGAAAAACTCACTTCTCTTATTGACCCTTTCCTCCTCACCAATTTTATCAGGCCGCCCAGACAAAACTGTATTTCATAGAGACAAACCTTAAAGAAGAAATCTGCTTCTTCAATCCCAATTTTGTTGTTCTTCTGTAAGCCTAGGACTGAAGCCACAAGCAACCCAGGCTGGGTCTCCTTCAAATGAACTGCAAGCTCAGTGGGAAAAACCTGTCCCTTCCACTGTTGAATCAGAAGCCGGGGTTCCAGAATGAAGCCACATACGAACTTCATCTTCAGATAAAAATAAATTCAAGAATAAAATATACAGGTTGTCTACCTTGGAAATATTATACTAGGGGACTCAAGATTCATAGTTAAGCTGTTAATAATTTACTTTTATCATAATTTTTATTTTACTATAAAGGCTAGTTATTACCCTAAGAAGGATATCATTGTTTAGCTGACTTAAACAAATTATTAATATTTAAAATTTTAAGCAGCAAGATGTCCTAATTTAGCAGAGAGCTTTATATTCAGGCCCACTCGATTTTAAAACATGTAAGTTTTTTCAAAATTAAGAAAGGAAAACTCATTTTTGAGAATTCTCCTCTTCAAAGCATAGAATGCCTTGATGTCAACTTGCTCTCATCATAGAACACCCATCATTTGTAGAGTGATAAAGTACTTCTGATGTTCTTGTTTTAGAATCATGTTATTGTCATACTGTGGGCATCTGACCAAAGTCAGAAAACAAAATCAACAGTGGAGCCAGACTGTCTCATTAAAATCCTGGCTCTGCTTCTTACCAGCTTTCTGAGCCTGGACAAGCTATTTAACTTCTCTATGTCTCAGGTGCCTTATCTATACAATAAGTATAGTAATAGCACCATTAGGCAGAATTGTTACAAGAATTAATTAATGTATTCATGGAGCTTAGAATAGGTCTGGCACATAATAAGTGCTCAATGGTAAACTTACTTACTTTTAAATGATTCATCTCTTTGGCTCATTCCCTAAATAACCTTTTCTCCAAAAGAAAGCCAACTTTCCTTTGATACATCATTCAAAATTCTACTTCTGTTAAAAAGCTGGAATTAGAAATATCATTTGACCCAGCAATCCCATTACTAGGTATATATCCTAAAGAAGTGAGAGCCAGGACAAGAACAGATACATGCACACCCATGTTCATTGTAGCACTATTTACAACAGCAGAAAGATGGAAACAACCTAGGTGCCCATCAACAGAAGAATGGATAACCAAACTATGGTGCATATACACAATGGAATACTATGCAGCCCTAAAGAATAATGTAGAATCTGTGAAACATCTTATAACATGGATGAACTTGGAGGACATTATGCTGAGTAAAGTAAGTCAATCACAGAAGAACAAATATAGTATCAGTTCATTATTGTAAAAAGTCAAGGAAAGGTTTATATATGTAAGGAAACTTTCTTTGTTGGTTATCAGGGGTGGGAGGGGAGGGGAGGGAACACTGCCCCCAAAAAAAAAGCACTGACCCCTGTCACTTCATTTCTGTGTATTTCACTATATATAAATTACATTTCAATAAAATGCATTTAAAAGTTAAAAAAAAAAAAGTCTAGCTCTCAATAATGTCTTTTGTGATTTTTTTTCAAGTGGAATTTATCTCTATAACTATTGGACTGCTATGGCTCATGGTTAACATCCCACTTGCTGTACTTCCACACACATCACTGTGTTCTGTTTCTGGCATACCACCAAATGCCCCATGCTAGATCAGACTGTCAGTGAGGGGCAGAGCCTGTACATTATTTGGCACCAAGCACAGTGTTCTGAACATATCTGACCTTCTGAATTGAAAGGTTTTTGGATACCCATTGCTGCCATTTATTCATCTTATTTCTTTTCCCTTTGCCAAATATAAAGTCCCAAGCACCCCCACTTTGGGTCACTTCCCTTGTAACACTAAGTCTATTTTCCTTACAACTAAGAAAAACTGAGCTGGAAAGATGTCAGAAGAAAGCTAAACACCTACCTCAGGCCTGGGAAAAAAAAAAAAAAAACTACTGTAATCAAGTCATCAAGCCAATTTTGACTCATAGTGACCTCACAGGACAGAGAAGAACCGTCTCATCGGGTTTCCGAGGCTATAAATCTTTTTGAAAGCAGACTGCCACATCTTTCTCCCACAGAGTGGCTGGTGGGTTCAAACCACTGACCTTTTACTTTGCTGCCAGGCACTTAACCACTGCACCACCAGGATTCCACCCCAGGACTCATATGTCCTATTTTAAGCTGGTATATATATCAGACAGGGCCCCATACCTCTGAATAGCTTTTCATTTCATTTCCATATATGTCAAGATCTCCCATTTTCAGAGCCATTGCTGCCTTGGCCAATGTCACTAAGATCGATGAAAATCCAGAAGTATCCAGCTTCCTCAGATAGCTCAGGGCAGTTAAAGGATTAACATTCTTCATAGAAGGACTACAGAGAATATGGGGCAGTTGCTTTGGCTCAGCCACATGAAACATCTCCATCACTTTTGTTGCCAATTCCTTTGGTGAGCATGAACAAGAAATAAAAGATCAATCAGCCAATAAAAAGCAACAACATCAAAAAAATACATGAAGCCAAGATAGAAATATCGCAACTAAGATAAAATTATTCTAGTATATTTTAATTTAAATCGGAAGGAAGGTTGGGCAATCTACTTCTGTAGTGATACCACCTTGGAAACCCAAGGAGGGGT